GGCACACCAAGTTAAGTGCTTGGCTACTAACCAAAAAGTTGACGGTTGAAATACATGCAGAGGCCCCTTGGAAGAAAGCCCTGGTCATCTACTTCCAAAAAGTCACAGCCATTGAAAACCCTATGGAGCACAGTTCTCCTCTGACACACATGGAGTCACCATGAGTCGGGGGCCGACTTGATGGCAGCTAATAACAATATGTGTGAGACGCTGTTCTAGATGCCGGGGGTAGAGTGGTGCCAAGAACAGGAGCTTCCATTGCAGTCGGCAGACTACTGTGTGTTTGAGTTCTGCTTCTTCCACTTGTCAGCTGTGAATTGACAATCCCTTTCTGTGCCTCTGTCTTTTCATCTGGACAATGGGGATAACATATTGACTGATGACCACCTGAGCACTTAGTTGCATTCCAGGCAAAATGCTAAATGTTTTTACCTGGATTTGATCCTCACAAAACCCGGTGAGGTAAGTCCTATTATTCCCTTTTTATAGATGAGGGGGAGTCCCCTGGTGGTGCAAACAGTTAACATGCTTGGCTGCTAACTGAAAAGATGGCGGTTCGAGTCTACCCCAGTGGTGCCTCAGAAGAAAGTCCTGCCAATCTACTTCCAGAAAATCAGCCATTAAAAACCCTATGGACCAAAACATCAACAATTATTCAAAAGCAAAGATGAGAAGATAAAGAGAGCAGGGAAACTAGAGCACTGGAAACAGAACAACCAGAACGCAATTAAATAGAATGTTGACTCATCATGAAAAATGTAACTAATGTCACTGAATAATTTGTATGTTGTTGTTGTTAGGTGCAGTCAAGTCAGTCCTGCCTCATAGTGACCCTATGTACAATAGAACGAAACACTGCCGGGTCCTGAGCCATCCTCACAATTGCTCTGCTTGAGTCCATTGTTGCAACTACTGTGTCAATCCATCACATTGAGGGTCTTCCTCTTTTTCACTGACCCTCTACTTTACCAAGCATGATGTCCTTCTCCAGGGACTGGTCCCTCCTGATAACATGTCCAAAGTATGTGAGACGAAGTCTTGCCATCCTTACTTCTAAGGAGCATTCTGGTTTTACTTCTTCCAAGACAGATTTGTTTGTTCTTTTGGCAGTCCATGGTATATTCAATATTCTTCACCAATACCATATTGTCCAGCTTTTGCATGAATATGAGGTGATTGAAAACACTATGACTTGGGTCAGGGGCATCTTCGTCTTCAAGGTGACACCTTTGCTTTTTAACACTTGAAAGAGGTCTTTTGCAGCAGATTTGCCCAATGCAACACGTCATTTGATTTCTTGAATGCTGTTTCCATGGTTGTTGATTTTGGATCCAAGTAAAAGGAAATCCTTGACAACTTTAATCTTTTCTCTGTCATGATGTTGCTTATTGGTCCAGTTGTGAGGATTTTGGTTTTCTTTATGTTGAGGTGTAATACACACTGAAGGCTGTAGTCTTTGATCTTCATCAGTAAGTGCTTCAAATCCTCTTCACTTTCAGCAAGCAAGGTCATGCCATTTGCATAATGCAGATTGTTAATAAGTCTTTCTCCAATCCTGATGCCCTGTTCTTCTTCATATAGTCTAATTTCTTGGATTATTTGCTCAGTGTACAGATTGAATAAGTATTGTGAAAGATACAACCTGCCACACAGCTTTCCTGACTTTAAATCACGCAGTATCCCCTTGTTCTGTTCGAATGACTGCCTCTTGATCTGTGTACCACTTCCTCATGAGCACAACTAAGTATTCTGGAATTCCCATTCTTCTAAGTGTTATTCATAATTTGTTATGATCACATAGTGGAATGTCTTTGCAATAAAACACAGGTAAACATTTTCTGGTATTCTCTGCTTTTAGCCAGGATCCATGTGACATCAGCAATGATATCCCTTGTTCCACATCCTCTTCTGAATCTGGCTTGAATTTGTGGCAATTCCCTGCTGATGTACTGCTGCAGTCACTTTTGAATGATCTTCAGCAAAATTTTACTTGTGTGTGATATTAATGATATTGTTCGATAATTTCCGCATTCGGTTGGATCACCTTTCTTGGGAATAGGCATAAATATGGATCTCTTCCAGTCGGTTGGCCAAGTAGCTGTCTTCCACATTTCTTGGCATAGATGAGTGAGCACTTCCAGTGCTACATCTATGCAATTTTGTATAGAAATTGCCAAATAAGAACCTAATTTGCTGTGTAAACTTTCACCAAAAACACAATAAAATACTATTTAAAAACAAAAAACCCTGTGGAGCACAGTTCTATTCTGAAACACACAGGGTCACCATGAATTGGAGTTGTTGACTCGATGGTAACTGGTTTATAGATGAGAGAGCTGAACCAAGTTGGCCTAAGTCATGCCAACATAGAGAGTAAGTTAACAGTGGAGTCAACTTCATACTCAGGCATTGTGACTCCAATACCCAAGTGTTTGACCACTGAATGACATCAACAACACTATCTGTTTCATGAGACGCTTGGGAAGTGCTTCACAAACGTTAGTTTGTGAACTGTGCTCCATTGGGTTTTCAATGGCTAATTTTTTGGAAGTAGATTGCCTGACTTTTCTTCCAAGGTACCTCTGGGTTGGACTTGAAGTGCCAAACTTTTGGCTAGCAGCCGAGGACGTTCGCCACCTGCACCATCCAGGGACTCCAAAACCAATTGCCATTCAGTCGACCCAGACTCATGGTGACCCCATGTACATCAGAGTAGAATTGTGCTCTGTAAGATTTTCAGTGGTTGTTTTTTTGGAAGTAGATCACCAGGCTTTTCTTCCAAGTCACCTCTGGGTGGACTCAAACCTCCAAACTTTCAGTAGCAGGCAAGTGCATTAACCATTTACACCACCCAGGGACTTCATTTATTGGTATTACTCTCAGCCTTATATTCCCTCTTCCCAATTTTTCCCCTTTATCCCAATTCCTTTTCCTGCTTTCCTTTGCTTGTCATCATCTGCCTTGAATCTCCCCTTCTGCTGTCCTTATATTCATTCATAATTTACTTCTTTCTTTTCATTCATTCATTCATTCATTCAACACCCATTTCTTGAGGCCTCCTGTTTGCCAGACCCAGTGCCAGATGACGCTAGGGACACACAGAGGAACCCGACCCTGTGCCTTCCCCTCCAGGAGTTCCCAGCTCAGTGAGGACAAAGAAGACCCCAAAACAACTCAATGCATGTCAGAAAGGGGTTATCACAGGGAACTGTTGAACCCAGGAGGAGGAAACGGAGCCAACTTTGGTGGGAAGTGTGTGTGTGTGTGTGTGTGTGTGTGGTCAGAGAAAGCTTCTTAAAAGAGGTGCCCCCTAAACTGTGCACCAAAGGTAAGTATTCCATCAGCGAAGAATGTGAGCGGAGTGGCCCACAGCAAGAGCAAGGGCCTGGAGGTTGGAGAGACACGCAGAAACTATCCCCAAAGTTGAGAAGAAAGGTTCTCAAAAGGTGTGAGGAGGTGAATCTGAGTGGCAGGAGAAGAGGACTAGGGGATGGAAGGAGAGAACGAGATTACATGACCCCTAGAGGACTACTCCACCCCATCAAGTGCCTCTTTTAACTTCAGCCACTCCATCTCTCTCCAGAGGGTTCAGGTTCAGTGTGGAAAGAGATCGGGAATCCCTCCCCCTATGCACAGGATTAGGATTGTCCTGGGTGTTGTACATGGTTAAGTGCTTGGCTACTAGCTGAAGGGTCAGTGGTTCAAACTTACCAGCCATTCCACTGGAGAAAGATGTGTCAGTCTGCTTCCGTAAAGATTTATAGGTTTGGAACCCTGTGGGGCAGTTTTACTGTTCTCTAGGGTTGGTATGAATCAGAATCGACTCTACTGTAATGAGTTTGGTTTGGGTTATACACAGGTTAAAATCGCGGTGGGTGGCGCGAACGGTTAAATGCTGGACTACTAGCCGAAAGGTTGGAGGTTCAAACCCACCCAGAGGCCCCTGGGATGAAAGACCTGGTGATCTGCTTCCATATGTCACAGCCTTGAAAACCCTATAGAGCAGTACTACTCTGACATGCTTGGGGGCGCCATGAGTCAGAATTGACTCAAAGACAATGGGTTTTTTGGATGGTACAAACGGATAATGCATTTGGCTACTAACCAATGTTTGATGATTGAAACCCACCCAGAGGCTTCTCAGAAGAAAGGCCTGGCAATCTGCTTTGGAAAGGTCACAGCCTTAAAAACTCTATGGAGCAGTTCTACTCTGACACATATGGGGGCACCATGAGTCGGAACTGACTCCATGGCAACTGGTTTGGTTTATGCATGGGGTTGAAGAGACTACAACTTCTATCATTCACTGGGGCTGCTCTCCTCACAACCGGCTTCAAAACTTTATAGCGTCTTGTGGGAAATGTAGTCTTCATTGCCCTCTACCTCTTTCTTTGTTTTCCCATGCGTTTTCAGCCTTGTCAGCAAGTCTAGAGGCGAAGAGCACCTTGAAATTGTTGAAACCAACGCCCTTTTTCTTATAGCGGGGGGAAACAGAGGCCCAGAGAGGTTGAGTGACTTACCCTAGGTCAGAGGACAAAGGTCCCCGTGGCCTTCTAGTGTGTCCTCATTTTTTCTTTATTTTTTATTAAACGGTTGGGGAAACTGAGACTAAAACCCAAATCCAAATGCATTGTGGTCAAGTTGATTCCAACTCATGGTTACTTCATGTGTTTCAGAGTACAACTGTGCTCCATAGAGTTTTCAATGTCTGTGACCTTTCAGAAGTAGGTCGCCAGGCCTTTCTTCCTAGCCACCTCTGGGTGGATTCGAACCTTCAATCTTCCCGTTAATAGCCCAGCGTTTAACCATTTCCGCCAACCAGGGGCTAAACTGAGACCAGAGAACTTGAGAGTTTGCCCCAAATCCTGGGACTGGACCTCCTATCTCCCATTCAGCCTAGAGGGAGCCGGGGTTTGGGAAGGGGAGGGTTTTTTCTCACGGGTGGCTGTCTCACCCCCAACTCTGAAGCCCCCCACCATCACCCCCGCCTCCCCCTCCAGGGCTGAAAAGAGGCGTCTGCGTGAAGATCAACCACTTCCCAGAGGACACAGACTACGATCATGACAGCGCGGAGTATCTGCTCCGTACGTGGGGGTGTGGGGGTATCGGGCGGACAGGGGGCCCGCGGATCTTGGAGAAGGGGTGGGGGCCGGAGAGGAGGCTGGGGATCGGCACTTGGATCACACACTGAGCTTACCATCGCAGCCAATCCAAGTGCAGACACTGAGATCCTCTGCTTCCCTATTGGCTCAGCAGTTCCTCTCCTGCCCCTTCCTCTCACCTTGGGGCGGGCTGAGGGGGATCCTAGGTGCTGATTGGCTACCCGCTCCCTTTGGCGCGCGCGGTAACTCTGGGCTGTGATTGGTTGCGGATTCGGGGGCTGGGATTGGTCTCTGAGCCCTGGGGCTACGGGGCAATCTGAGGCGGGGAGTGGCCACTCGATGGAGCAGGCTGGGGGGAGCCTGCGCTGCGATTGGTAGCTGCCGAGGGAACGTGGTAAATCCTGAATTATGATAGGCTGTGGTTTTAGCCAGATTCAGAAATGGCAAAATCTGGTTGCCTGGGGTTTTGGAGGTGAGTGGAAAGGACTGCAGAGAGGTAGAAGGAGGGAGTCCGAAGGAGAAAGAAATGGAAAGCTAGAGAGAGGAATATATGTAGGTATATATCTGTATGTACATATATAGAGAGAGACAGAGACAGAGAGACAGCGAGATAACTAGAAAAAGCTAGGCAGAAAAGGAAGAAGGCAGAGAGAGAGAAAGACATAGAGGAAAATCATACATACAGAGAGAGAAGGAAAGAAGAGAGAAGAGACACAAATAACTAGAAAAAGTCAGGCAGAAAAGGGAGGAGGGAGAGAGAGAGAGAAAGACGGAGGGATCAAGAGATAGAAAGAGAGGGGGAAATTATATATGGAGAGAGAGAAGAGCCAGAGAGATAACTAGAGAAAACCAGGCACAAAAGGGGGAAGGCAGAAAGATTGAGAGTGAGAGATTTGATAAAAAGAGGGACTTGGAGAAAGGAAAGAGATGGGCAGATAAGAGGGAGACAGGAAGGGGGAGAGGACAGGCAAGAAAGAAAAAAAGAAATGGGAGGGTCGTCTAGAGAAATAGAGAAGTTCAGAGAGAAAACAGGAAGAGTGATTTAGAGAAATAAAGAGGGAGGAAAAATTCCCAGGAGCCAGAAAATGGACCGAGAGAGAAAAGGCAGAGAGAAACAGGGATAGGAAATCAGACTGAGAAATAAGGAAAATTAAAAAAGAGGAGAGAGAATGGGCGGGGTGGGGGAGAGGACAGACATAAACTAGAACCGAACCAGAGAGAGAGAATGAGAGAAGCAGTTAGAGAGAAAGGGGGACGTTAGTGCGCAGGAGGCGCAGCGCGCTGGAGCGCACCGGCTCCCTCTCTCCCTCCTCCCCGCAGGAGTCGTCCGGGCCTCTAGCATCTTTCCTATTCTCAGCGCCATCCTCCTGCTGCTCGGAGGCGTGTGTGTGGCCGCCTCACGGGTCTACAAATCCAAGAGGAATATCATTCTGGGCGCAGGGATCCTGTTCGTGGCAGCAGGTGAGAGGCAGAGGGAGGGGGCGGCGGTTCGGGATAGCCCATTTGCGCTCGCGCGCGTGTGCGTATGTGTGTGTGTTTACGTTTGTGTGTGTGTGTGTGTGCGCGCGCGCGCGCGTGTGTGCGCGTGTATATGCAAAGCGACCCTGTCCCGGGCGCGCCGTGGGGCCCGGAGCCTTCCCAGCCTCTTGCCAAGCTCCATCGCCACCCGCTGGGCAAGGAAGGTGTAGCCTCGGCGCCGTTTTCCGGAGGAGTATAACGAAGCACCCACAGGTTCCTGGCTCATCACCAGGGGCGCCGGGCGGTTAGATTCCAAAGCAGAGGAGGAGCTTGGGAGAGGGGGTGGGGCCTTGGGACAGAATTGGAGTCTTGAAGCTAGAAGGGCAGGGCGGGGCATCCGAGGGCAGGGTCAGGAGAGGGAGAAAGTGATTTAGATGCAGAAGGAGGGAAACCTGCCTTACTTAGGGAGCTTGACTTCATAGACCCTGGGGGACCCAGAAGGGTCTGATCCTGGGAGCCATCCAGGGCTGGGGACTGGGGAAAAGGGGGCTGGATCAGGGAGACTGGCTGGGCCTGGGTCTGCTGTCTATTTGGGGAGGGGAGGCTAGAAAAGAAGGGGCAAGACGTGGCAAGTTCAAAGCCACTAAAGGCATAAAGAGGCAACCTGGCCGATTCAAGAGACTGGTCCGAAGCCAGAAGGCAGGGCTTAATCAAGTCAAAAGTTAGGGTCTAGATTAGCGAGAACTGGTAGACTCAAAAAAAGGAGCCCTGCTAGTGCAATGGTTAAAGCGCACGGTTTCTAACTGAAAGGTCGGCGATTCGAACCCATCAGCCGCTCTGAGGGAGAAAGAGGTGACAGTCTGCTCTGGGGGAGAAAGATGTGGCAGTCTGCTTCGGTAAAAGGTTACAGCCTTGGAAACCCTATGGGACCGTTCTACTCTGTCCTATAGGGCTGCTATGAATCGGAATCGACTCAAGGGAACAGGTTTGGGAAACTCCAGGGCACAGAGCTTTTTTGAAGGGGCAGAATCCAGAGGAGAAGGTGCAGAATTTTGGGAGATGGGCCTGGGATGGATCTTGGAGGATCTGAAAGGTGGGGCTAGCTAGATCCGGGCGGGGGGTGGGGGTGGGGGGTGAGGGGAGCCTGATGTAGACCTGCAGCGACTGGGGGCTTGGCAAACTGGAGGTAGGGTATAGACCAGAAGGAGGTATAGGGTTGAGGGGGTGTGCAAAAATGAGAGCGAATTTTAGACCACCAGAGGGAGGGTCTATGATAGAGACTCAGGCTGGGATTATATCCTGAAAGGAAGGTTTAGATCAGCAAGGTGCAGAGCCTGGACAGTCAGACAGGGATTACGTCATTAACAGAGTTTAAAGGAGCAGAGGGTGTGGCCTGGAGAAAAATTGAGATTAATTAAGGGTGGAGTTAAATCAGTCCGGGAGGGACCTGAAGGCCCAGGCAAGGATCATTCTTCCAAGGCGGAGTTTAGACCATCTGAGGCTAGGCTTGAGCCAGCCAGGGCCTGAATCATCCTAGGCAGGGCCTGGACCAGATGGGGCGGGGCCTGGAGACCCAAGCCAGGATCCTTCGTTGAAGGCCGAGTTTACACCATCGGGGGCATGGCCTGGACCACCTGGGGTGGTGCCTGGACCATCTGGGGCAGAGCCTGGACCACCTGGATTGGAGCCTGGAGACCCAAGTCAGGATCGTTCATTGAAGGCAGAGTTTACACCATCAGGGATGAGACCTGTACCATCAGGGGCGGGGCCTGTACCAGCTCAGGAGAGTCCTGGACTAGCTGGGGCAGGGGTTGGAGGAGGCGGGGGGCGGGGAACTGGACCAGATGGGGAAGAATTTAGACCAGCACTGGGTGGTGTCTGGACCCTACGGGGCAAGACCTCAACAATCTGGGGTTGGGACTTGAAACAGCTGCAGTGGAGTTTAGACAGGTTGGGTGTTCCCTGGACCATTTAGGGGAGCTGCTAGACCACCTAGGGGGAGATCTGGAGACCTAAGCCAGGATTGTTCATCAAAGATAGAGTTTATACCATCTGGGGCGGGACCTGGACCAGATAGGGAGGAGTTTAGACCAACCGGACAGGGCTTGGACCATCCATGGCCTGGACCATCCAGGGCAGGTCTGGATATGAGGTGGGACCTAGACCATCTGGGGGGCCTGGACCAGCTGAGGTGGAGTTTAGACCACTTAGGGTGGCGTTTACACCACATAGGGCAAGGCCTAGGCCGGCAGGGGCAGAGTTTAGACTATCTTGGACCGGGCCAGACCACCTGGGACGGGACCTGGACCTTCGGGGCGGGCGGACAGTGCGGGTCCCCGGGCGCAGGGTGGGGGCGGGGCTGGAACCGGGGTGGCCTCGAGGCTCCCGTCTGCCCGTCCCTGCCCAGGCCTGAGCAACATCATTGGCGTGATCGTGTACATCTCGGCGAACGCGGGCGAGCCAGGCCCCAAGCGGGATGAGGAGAAGAAGAATCACTATTCGTATGGCTGGTCCTTCTATTTCGGCGGGCTGTCATTCATCCTGGCCGAGGTGATCGGTGTGCTGGCCGTCAACATCTACATCGAGCGCAGCCGCGAGGCGCACTGCCAGTCTCGCTCGGACCTGCTCAAGGCCGGCGGGGGCGCGGGCGGCAGTGGCGGGAGCGGCCCCTCGGCCATCCTCCGTCTGCCCAGTTACCGCTTCCGCTACCGCCGCCGCTCCCGCTCTAGCTCCCGCTCCAGCGAGCCGTCGCCGTCGCGGGATGCTTCTCCCGGCGGCCCCGGGGGCCCGGGCTTCGCCTCCACGGACATCTCCATGTACACGCTCAGCCGCGACCCGTCAAAGGGCAGCGTGGCCGCGGGGCTGGCGGGCGCCG